ACAGGATAATTGTTACGTGAATCCAACCAAGCGAGCGGTTCACGCTTTGGCGTGTCCTAACTGCGCTTGAGATTGAAAATAAGGACGACTGTCCACATGGAGTTTGGAAACAGGCCCCGCTGGACCTGGCGTTGAAAGTTGCCATGCGAATGAATCTCGTGGTACTTGCGTGATTTTGAATCATGCGCGAAAACCACGCAGACTCCGAAGCTGTCAATGTACTAGTCACTTCGCATATTGGTCGATTTGTTTGGGGCAGCAACTGCCATCTGAGGGCCTGAAGCCCAGACGACGCAAACAACATAACCTCTGGCCAGAACGCTTCAGGGTCCTGCCGCTGAATGATATTCATCATCACGACAATCTGTCTGGTTATCCTCCACCTGATGGTATGCACATATTTTTGATGGAACTCATCATTAAGAGGCTCAATTAGAAATCCGTTACTTGAGAGAGAAAAAGACTGCAAGATCGTTTCGCCTTTTTGGGAGTAAGTGTGCATACTCCCTTTGCTGTTACATATGTAGGCAGCAGAGGCGATTAAAGAATTAGTTGTGTGACATGGGGTGGACCATCTCATCCTCTGCATGATAAAAGCGCCGGAGCCAATCGAGATGTAAATACGCGATTAATATTCGAAGTGATCAAGATGCTCGACTGCAAGGAGGCGAGAGAAGATGCAGTGCTGATAAGTGTCGCAGAAATACGAAACAACTGCCCGCTGCTGCTCCGCGTGTCATTCACTATTTGATCGGGTGTGCCGACAGTGTGTCGAGTTCAGCCAATCAAGTTGGCAATACCAATACTCCTCGATATGTAAAATGAGTTGAGAAGATTATTCCGCAGCTGAGACAATGTATCAATCCGCACAGCCTTAAAGCATTCTTAGTAAATCGATGACCTAGATAAAAACAACCCATTTGAAGAGGGCATTTTGACTAACGGCTCATTACAACAGAATGCGGAGTAAATATATCAATAAGCGGAGCACTCAGGATGAGTGTCGTCAATTCCAGTGGAATCGCCGCAGGAAACTGTCATTGTGCATGCGGGACGATAGTCATCACTACCGCGCAGTCAAAACTATGTGCTGGCAATGAGCACCCTCTACAAGAGGTGGTGCACTCGCGCATCCCTTCACGCTGAGGATAGAAAGAAGCGTGCGTAAAAACGTAACCCGGTTGCCACGCTGTAATAAATACTTGGATGACACTTGTGAATTTCGATTAATAAAGCAAAACATTGTAGCCTTGGTACAGTATCGTAATGGCGCCACCGTATCCTGCTTCCGAGCCACGTGTGAAGTAGAGAAGAAACATCGTCAACCGAGAAGCAACATAGTCCGGCTGGTGCTTGCAGTTCAACAGTGTCGTGCAAGTGGCACTTGGCTGGCCACGTTGGATATACCTAGCTGATCAATGACTTAAACTTAATTACGACGACCGGTTAGGGTAAAAGATTTTGCTAAGGGAACCAATTCACCGAACCCCTTTAAGCCCGCTTCTGTGTCGGCAGCATCCGTAGAAGCTCGGACAAACCCAACATGAAGTCTATTGTCCAGGGGCCAAACAACCAGAGCGCATGCGTTGCAATCACGCATGGATAACACATTTGGTTTGCATTCAAAAAACGAGAGAATTTTACCAACATCGAGTAAGTTCTGATGGTACGGAAACTTCCTCCAAATCATTTGGGTAGAACCATATCACCAGTGCTCAATCGTCCTGGCTCAAATGAAGATTTCGTCGAGAATGTTGCCTTCTGATTCGGGAAGTGATGGGTCTGGATTCGAAATGACTGCATCAGTTATCTGCGCAGTCAGCGTAAACACAAAACATTCATAGGTAAACAGCCAACTACGATGGTCGTATTGACAAAGTACATATGCTTTATTGGCGTCAGACAAGGAGTCTTCCAATCGACCTGGAACGTTGGTAGATAGCAAGGGTTCGTGAGAGATGTAGAAGACCAATGTTATTCCAGCTCATCCGGAACACGGGTCCGAGAAAGTCATCAGGTAGGGAGACAACAGCTGAGAAAGATGGAAAGTTGACGCAGTTCCAACGTCATCGACTAGCCCGTTGAGCGGAACATCTTGAAGAGCAGTTCAGAAGGCTTGCTGCGACACTGCCGATTGCCGAATCACCTGAGCCGACAACTTCGGAAGAGAGTTGACTTGAGCTTTCCGTAATAAAACGGAACAAGGCTAATGGACCTGACGACCTTCCTCCATCTTTGCCGAAAGATGGTGGTGACTCTTTGTAGACCGGATTCGCTTCTGCTTTTAACACAATTGGGAACATTGAAGAGATACTATCAGACTGATGACTGTCAACTTTCGTGCTCATATTCAGGAACGGTCAGCGCACTTTGCGCGAAAATCATCGTCTCCGATGCATAAAACTTCTCACGCGCATCATTCTCCGGCGACTTACTGGTCGGTCCCCGTGAGGAGCGATCACTGAAAGTTGATTGGCTTCCGCTCTAGCCGTGGTTGTATCGACCACACATTTACGCTTCTTTAAGTTTTAGAGCAGAGACATACATACAGACGACCGAATATGGTGGTTTTGTTTGATTTGAAAGCCGCCTACGACTTTGTTGACCGCGCCAGCTTGTAGCACTGCCTATTCATGAAGGGCGCGCCAGCTAAACCACTTTCCATTCTTAAGTCCCTCTAATGTGATTTCCGAGGCTGTGTAAGGGTCTACGAGAAACTATCTTCTGAATATTCCAGGACAAGTGGGATTCGCCAGGGTTGTCCCATAAGTCCTTTCCTCTTCAACTTTGCTATCGAAACGATCACAAGTGATTCCTTGCTTTCACACCCTATTGAAGTGGAAATTTTGCTAGGTGACAGAATGACAAACCTGGAGTATGCGAACCGACACACCCGCGGTTCTAGCTAACACCGAACAGTCACTGGAAGTGGTGGATCTATTCGCTTGCCTTGGTAGCTGTGTCACCTCTGGCGGCCAAATCGCTGAGGAAGTTACTTCGCATATCAGCAAGGCTCGTGTGGCTTTTCAGAGACTCGACTATCAATGGACACGGCAGGATACCAGCCTGTCAGTGAAAGGTAGAGTGTATAACGCTACGGTAAGACCGGTCTTACTGTATGGAGCAGAGAACTGGCCAGTTCGCGGCGAGGACTTTAAACGCTTGGTCGTGTTTGATCATCGGTACTTGCGGAGTATTGCTTACGTCTGATGGAAACACCAGGTGAGAAATGTTGAGGTCCACCAGTTGGTTTTTGGCAAGAAGCCTCCTTGTGCCTCACTGGAGTGTTTACTGAATTTTAATCGCTTAGGTTGGCTAGACCATGTCCTCCGCATGCCCGTTGACCGGCTTCCTCGGAACGCGTTATACGTCGTGGTTGCACCAAGCTGGGTGAAACCGCGAGGTGACCAGTATATGACGTGGTATATGGACATCAAGAAACTGACTGAGAGACTTAGTCAGGCTGGCGCGTGCCGTGCTTCCTGGATGGGAGCCTCGGGATGGTCCACACCAATGGTTGGAGATCGTAACAGACATGACGCAGTCACGCTGTCAGTGGCGTTCCTGCATCCGCATTCTTACAACTGACTGTTGGTTCTGGTTCCATTCTGATTAATATAATGCAATTCCTGCTTGCTTCCATTTCCTTTACATTTCGACTGTCCTTAGACACACTATCTTGCCGTTATTATTTACTGTTATTTTTACGATGTGACTCACGGAAACTGGATCCACCACACTTCAGCGTTCGGATCATAGTTGTTCAACTGAACTGAACGGTCTAGGGAGTAAGGTGGCTGCACCGAACATATCTAAGCGTATACTCTCTGATATGCAGAGTTGGCCGTGTTGCTCAGCTTGTTATCGTCAACCTAATCCGCAATTTACCGAAAGAAGCTCAGTCAATCGAGGACAGGCCGTATGTGCTTCAGTTCAGTGCAGTTGATCAACCATGACAGGAGCACAGAAGTGCAGTGGATCAAACTGCCACGAAGCACATCACAACAATAACAATTAATGACAACGGCAAGAGAGTGGGGTTGAATGCAAAATAAAATGGAAACAAGAAGGAAGTGAGTTAAACTAAGCAGAATGCAACTAAAATTAACAAGCAGATGCAGGAAGCTGAATGCAGGAACCCCACTGACAGCGCCATGTCTGATAGGATCTCTAACCATTGATGTGGACCATCCCGAGGCCCGCAATCCAAGCACGCACCAACCTGACCAAGTTTCTCAGTCCGTTTCGTCTTGCTCCTATACCACGTCATAGACTGGCCCCCTCAAGGCTTCGCCCAACTTGGTACAGCCACGGTGTATAATGTACGCCGAGGAAGCCGGTCAACGGAGGACATGGCCTAGCTACAGGCACATAGTGAGAGAAACAACTGGAGTCCGAAAGAAACAGCATGTGCCGAAGTGGGATCAGTGTGGAATTGCCTAGCACCCTGTTTCCTTCAGCCACCGAGCTCAGGTAAACCGGCGTCTTATTGGATATGCAAATACCTATTGGTCACCGGCCCCTCATGGGGCCAGACTCAATGTTCAAAGCGGTGTTATCAAGTTGATCTACATTTCTTTTAGTTCACTGAACCAGTCGTTAGAGACCACAGGAAGCCAATGATGTGTGCTCAAAAGCAATTTGATATCTACTTTAGGACGCCATGTTGACTAGTAACGAAACGATTGCAATCAAATCGCCCACTATGAAAACGTAGCAACAAACGAGCTTTCGTCTTCTCGTTGTGCCGTCCAAGTTGATAAAGGGAAACGAGTGCTAAAAAAATGCACCTATTGTTCCGCAATTTTGTAAGTAATGTTGAAGAGAAACCGTTCAATGATAACTACCGGTTACTTTGATCACCCGAACACAAATAGGGCCATAAAATGTTAGCTGATAGCTCCAGCAATTATTGGACTACAGCAGAAGTGTTTTAGACACGATGTCGAATCTGAAGCAATACAAGACTCGAGTCATTGGGAAGACAGTGAGAGACGCACCTGTGGCAGGAATATCTTCTTGATAGCGCTAGTCGCGCATAAATACGCACGGCGTAGATACAAATGTGATTTAGCCTCCAAAGCTTGAATGGTTGATGTGTTGGTCACAGGGTGGGAACCTGAGTTACATGATGCAACCCTTGTTGTTGTCGCACCGTCCAATGAGGACGGGACTAACGAGCAACATGCTGCGTTAGGATGCTCCTCGATCAATCCCTCGGCGACTGAGTCCGTGGGTCGACTGGAATCGGTCTCCGATGTGGTTGACCCGCGATCGGACGATGCCGGGTGGACCACAACGGAACCGGACGCGTTGCTCATAGAAGCGAACCGCTGAGCAAACGAAGCCTGAGGCGGCCCGACTGCTATCGGCACAAACCGGCTCGGTGAGAGTTGAGCGAAGGCAGGGGGCATGAAAACGCCTTGGAAAGCCACGGAGCTGGAAGTGGAACTGCTGTCACTACTTCCACTACCGTTAGTGCTCACCGCAGAGAGAACGCTCGCAGCCAGTGACGGATCTGAGGTGAATGTGGGCTGCTCCGAGGGGGCGACAGCAGTTGTCGCTCCGGGGGGAACTTGAAACATCATGTTGAAAGCTGTGGACAGGGAAGAAATAGTGATGTCAATGAACGGAAGGAAACGGAAAAAGATTTAACCTAAACCACCAAAAGCAGCACACTATCCCACTTACCAGTAACTGAGGGAATTGATTGCTGCGAGGTGCTCAAAGGATCCGACGGTAACTGGGGAACAAAATGGGAAGTCCCGGTGGAATTGATTGCCGGATTAGGTGGTGGCAGAAAGACTGGCTGAGACAAGAGGGAGGACTGCATCGGGGGCAGTGATGGAGTAAATGGAAGCAATCCACTTCCATGGAGGTTAATCCCAGAACCGCCAGGGAAAGGAGATGAGAAGGTATGCTGAAAGAGAAAAAGAGAATGCACGAAAAAGGTGAAACAGCCACAGGACAAGTCAGGACAATGGGTTGGATACAAAAGGACTGTGTAAGCACAGAGTTAGGTGCAACATGCGACTCGCCACTCACCTGGACACAATGAACTGGGGCGGCTTGTGTTACCAAGTAAGGAGGAGGAATATGTGTTGGCTGAGTGGCGTACAGAAAGCGTGCGGCCTGAGAGTGTGGAGGGAACACGGGTTGCGGTTGTTGGGCCGAAGGAGATCGGTAGGCATTCGTGAACTGCATATGACCTGATTGTTGGCCAAAGTATATCATGGGCGAGTATAAGGAGTTCGAGGGACCTGGTGGAATCGTGGGATCTGAAGCTAATCCCATGGAATGATACATCGGATGGAAAACGGGGTTGGGTATTGGAATTGGTGGTGGAGGTTGGAACATGGTCGCCGGTTGGTATCCTGGCTGAGAAGAGGAGCCACTTGCTGGGTAGGTAGTCCAAGAGGCCACAGGAACGCAATTCAACGTGTTTTCGAATACCACAGGGGCGGGTTGAAGTGGAGCACCACCAGTAGGAGCCACTGTGGTGGTAGAGTAGACCACCGTACTGTCTGTGCTGGCCATTAGTTCAGTTGGTGTCAATTTGAGAAGATGCGACCCAGTCTTCATTGCGGACATGTTAATCTCAGTACGATCCGGCTCAGAATCCATACGGTCTAGTGCCTGAATTTGCGAGAACTCCAAGGCTCTCTTGTACTCCTCCGTCACAGTTTGATGCAAAGAAAACCAACTTCGGGCGAGAAAAAAGTGAATCTCGGGCAGAATGCCATAAAGTAGCTGATTCTCACTGCTCTCAATGGTCAGTAGCCCACGTTCGAGCACCGATGTGGAATGTTCTTCACACTGCCCGAGAGCACGATAAATTTCTTGCGGACGGAGCGTGGTGCAAAAGGATAGGCTGGCTAAGCACAGCTCTGCGGCGACATCGACGAGCTGCGTGGAACAGAGAGGGGAAAGCAGGTGATTAAGCACGAGTTGCTGTGCTTGGGACCAGGAAATAGCAAAGTGAACATAGTGGTAGAGCCAGTTAACACGATCAAGCTTGGTGTATCAGTGACTCAGTGTATCAGAGCTATGGGCTGAATATCTTCCATGAAGGTTCTGCTCCATGCAGCCCTACAAACACTCATATCAAGTGCAATAAAATGCAGCTTGTGCAACAATTGAGGTTCACAGGTAAGAGAAAACGAGATAACTGGTAAGTAGCAACAAAAATGAACATGCCATGTAAACGGATCCGGGTCAGCGACACTGGTTGCGGTTGCAATGGTCGCGCATGGTACTTGGTGGCGAGCCGCGCAGGCAGTGATTCAACGAAACCAAAAACAATTATGTGCCTTCAGGAGCAAGAGAAGTCATGCGATCTGGTCAATTAGAAGAAGTTAGATGTCATCATGATATCAAAGTATGCTTTAAGGGAAGCGAGCAAGTGTTTAGGAAGAGAGGGGAACGCGGAAGATGCGTATGGCCAACTAGACCGCGAGAATGTTGAAAGACTGATGGATTAAAGATGCGTAGTTCCAGATGTGAAAATGAGACGCGGCAATGCAATGCGCCTGTCCAAGTTGATAGAGGGTGCAAAAAGGGCGAAAAGTAAATCGGAGTGCCAAACGTCTTGTACCGGCCTGGTTAGACAATTTTGTTGTCATCATCATCATCATCATCACCATCATCATAATCATAATCATCATAATCATCATCATCATCTTCTTCTTCTTCTTTTGTTCTTCATCTTCTTCTTCATCATCATCATCATCATCGTCATCATCATCCTCCTCATCATCATCATCACTCCCGCATACTGTCCCATCACCCGGGGCGAAGTAGAAAAGCTTGAGCGGGTGCAGCATGTAGCCACTAGGCTGATTCCCAACTTACGAGGTATGCCATACGAAGACCGATGTAAGAAACTAGGGTTATACACCCTATCTTATCGTCGGCAGAGGGTTGACCTCATCATGACGCACCGGATATTACATCTGGGTGATTACCCCATGTTGAGACAACTATTTCATCTGCGCACACCAAGCTGCACGCAAGGACACCGGTATAAACTTATCGTCCCGGATTTGAAGCGGGTCGCCCATCAACTCTGTTTCGAACGCAGAGTGGTGAATGTCTGGAACGACCTGCCTCAGCATATAGTAGAAGCGAACACAGTGTCTAAATTCAAGATGCTACTAGACAAACAATTTGCAGAGGCAAAGTACAAAGAGCGAAACGATAAATAAAATGTTCATGTCCGAAAACGACGAATGATGCAGCTACACAGAGCAAACTCTACTCGCTGCTTCGCACCAGTTCTCAGTTCTCAAAAAGACCATAAAATCTCAACAAAAATACTGGGAACAGGTATTAGAAGACAGCAGGAATCTGTGTACGGTTTGTTTAGCAACACAAGCCAGTGAACGCAAGAAGTAGTGGCACACATTGAAATGTATGTATATTTCTCGAATGTGCGAGTTACAGTCCAGAACGTGGAGTGATCATATGGCACAATATGATCTCAAAGTGCACATGTTATTTCAGATTTGCCGGACGAATTCAAAAGCAGGTTTATGGGGAATACAAGTGATGGCAATGGTAAAAAGAAGGAGAGTTTAAAAGCAGGATGAAAGTGGTTATTGAAAACGCACATTGGAATTAATACGGCTATCCGTTGAACCGACTCCTGGGGAACTTGCTTCCATGTGGGGTATTCCCTCGAAAGGTTTCATTCACACTACCACTTCCCATTTGGATTCGTGTCGGTGTGACAGAACAGCAAACGAGCCATCACCATATCAGCTCATTTTTGTGGCCGTTCTTATATATAATGAGTAATAGGCTCGCACAGATAAGCGAGCTACCATTTTTTTGTTTATTAATACTCCTTTAGATTATTCGGTGCATTTCGGCTTCAGACTTTTTCAAGTCGAACACCTTTTCCACTAGATGAGTGTGTGCCAAGGTGCCTTGAGTATGCATACTTTTTCACACCAATAGGTCTGTGACCATTTATCATCACACGTGGATGTATTAAATAATCCAGAAGCTCCATTCCATTACCTCAGGAGATCGACGCAGTCGTAGTCAACAGTGGAAAAGAGAAGTACAGTAGATGGTGAAATACAAATAATGATAAATAAATGTCGATGCAAGAGAACATATGTTTTCAATAGCTCCTCTTCAGACTTGTACAATTATATGTGAAAAAACAAAATGTTTGACACAACGTAAGGGTTGGTAAGATAAGTTCGGTTCACAATTACTGATCAAGCACAATCACTATCCGTTAGGTCACAAGTGAGTGATATAGACTGAGACTAAGACTGTATTTAAGAGCAAGTAGAAAGGTTTCTCTATCGAATTAGGAAAAATCAAAAACATTTAGTTGTGAATCCTCAGCAGTTGTGTCTGGTCCGTAAATCGTTTATCCGTGTTCGGTTAGGAATTTGTATTGGTGTCATTATTTCCGGGCATACAATGTCTTCTTTTGGCATTGTATGTGCATCGTTTCACAAAAGCACAGTTTTCCGAAATAATCGTCGATACGCGTTTTAAAACCCTTCACAGAATCGGCCTCTAATAATCCTTCGGGTAGTGTATTCCATAGGTTTATGATTCTTCGTTCGATACAAATCTGATGTGATACTTTGTTCATGCTGGGGATCCTGAGTTTGTAACGGTGTCCTCGGGTGTTACAGGGTTCCCGCAGGTGAAATATTGGCCAACAAGTTCTGCTTCAGGGTGTAAATAGGAAATACATGCAAAAAAGATAAAAATAAGAAAAAACGGCTATATGAAGGATTTTGTGATAGATCCAAAGACTCCAGACAATCGATGTGTAAAGTGGGTTTCACAGAGTATCGAGAACTGCCACAGGTAGATGAGTTGTTTTCTCCGGAAAAGAAGTGATAACAATTAGCAGTGCGCAGCAAATGCATATATTTACGGTCACCGTTTGTATTTCCATCCAGAGATGACGAGGCTAACGTCTGTCCGGAACTCAACAGCCTAATTCGCTGGTTTACCAGTTCAAATGTCATTCTGGTCACGTGAGATGGGGACACACGAGTACAATGACTGCGCCAATCTGTCACTTGGTGTCCTAGGCTGCACGTGGCTGGCGATGGGCTTGAATAATCAAACCACCGTAACTTTCAGGATTGAGGAAACTCACGAATGACGATCGATTTGGAAATCGTGGATCGACTACGATAATGTTATAGCACATTGCCCATTCTCCATGGGCTTTATTGGGAAGCGTAGTAAACCGGTCCCCGATTAAGCATTGGGCTGTTTCCTCAGGTGTCTGTGGGGGAATTCTACCAAGATGATGTGTGCAATAAACGTTCAACCGAGATTCGGTGGAATGGTAATTCTGATAACTTGTAAGACGTGGGGGCGAAAGAGATCAGAGACCTGGGCAGTTCACATTGAAGACGTTTAACACTGTACCTTGTCTGATCAAGAGTGCCGTCTTCCAGGATGGGGACCTCAGGATGGTCCACACCAATGGTTGGTGACCGTGTAAGACATGGCGCAGTCACGCAGTCAGTGACGTTTCTGCAATCGGTTTCTTGCACCTGCTTGTTAATTCTTGTTCCATTATGATTGGTCTAACGCATTTCCTTCTCGCTCCAATTTTCGGTACATTCTATTCGTACTTAAACCCACTACCCTACTGCTAGTATTCATTGTTATTCTTACAGTGGGTGTCGTGGCAACTAGATCCACCGCACTTCGGTGTTCGGATCAAAGTTGTTCAACGGAACCGAACTGAGTAACTGGAAAATTCCTATCTAATTATCAAAAACAAAAGACTGATCACCGGTGCTTGCGGATTATGGTTCACATCTGGTGGTAAAACCAGGCGAGCAATGCTGAGGTGCACCAGTTGGTTTTGACAAGAAGCTACCTAGTGTCGTTGTAGCAGAAGGTAGATGTAACAGCAGTACATTGTAGGAGGCACGTAGAACGTATAACTGCCCAAAAAGAAAAAAGCATTCCCTAAGAATTCCCCTAATCGATCAAACAGCCTTGAGCGACGTTTAACCAAAGAGGTTAAGTCTAGAGTATCGAATCACAACACCACTGTCCCCGTCGGAAAACTTACTTCATGCGGGTTAGTATCGATCAATTGGCTTCGGGGTACGGCTGGAACTTCGTAGTTCACGGGATGGTGGAGCCGGCCGTACCTGTGTTTCACACGTATCGTGGCTGGACTTGCGAGGACGGTCCAGTTGCACTGTAAAAGCGACGGGCGTTGACTATCAAGCCATTTTCCAATCGATATGTGCCAGGGCCACATGCATGCGTGATTCACAGGGGGGACAGACAGAGTCAGGTGACCCTTTGCGGTACTTCTACTTTTGATCCGGCTGCACTGGAATTGAGATTTCAGCGTAAAATTGTTGGTACCTTGCTATGTGGTTAGGCACTTCGGGATGTATAGAAAGGGACACGTGTGCAGCCTTAAGTTTGGTTCGCAAGGGTCGTCCTAGCAACATTTCAGCAGGCCGGCTTCCGGTGGCTCTGTGTTCACAGGTTCTGTATGATAGCAGCACCGTTAAGACAGCTTCTTCCCACTCTACCCTTCCTAGTTGAATGGCCTGTATTGCCTTCTTGAGTGACCGGTTAAGGCGTTCCATCATGCCATTAGCTGAAGGATTGTACGGGGAGTCCGGGAATGTTCTATGTTATGTCATTGGAGAGAAGTTTCGATTTCGTGACTACAGAATTGGGAACCATTATCCGTAACCACTTCCAATGGTAATCCGAAGCAACTGTGAACAAATGTCCGAGCCATCACAGCACTAAGGAAGTGCTAGGTATGTCACATATGTGAATCTCAGGCCATCTGCTGTAAAAGCAGGTTGCAAGAAGTAGATTTTTCTTATCCACCGGAGCAGTGGCGAAGGGGCCCATAACATCAATTGCAATTTTGGCCC